CTTTAATTGTGTCATTGCTCCGTCTTATTAAGCAGTTGACTTTTACAGTTTGAAATATTTTTATATGAACTATTTCATTGTGGAGTTGGTCTTTTTATGACTGATTACTGCAGAGTTGCTATTTTTGAACTAACATAAAAATAAAAGCTTGAATTGCGGCGAAAGTCAGYAGTTTTGTAGTTTGTTTTATTTGTTAAAATAAATAAAGCTGGGGAAAAGCTAATGTAAAGAAATCTGTCACTGTAAAAACTATAGGATGAACAGAAAGTTAAAATGACAGAAGATGAAGTTCTCATTGTTGCTGATGTAGTCACTTTGTGCGGTGACACATTGCTCCCAGTGGTCCTTCCAAAATTGAGATCATTCAACTTGAGTTTATTTTGGGGTACAGGAGGAAATTTGAAGGATTTGAAATCTGGATAATAGACCACTCTTTGAGCTGTTAGTAGCTGTGCAAGTGACGAAGATAATGTAATTCTGATTTAACAAACTTTTATCCCTGTCCTTACTACGGCTTTATAATATCACAATTTAGAGTTCAAGAATTGTCTAAAAGATTGTGACAAAAGTGAAGCTTTGATGCAAGTCTAAAAATTGTATCCTTTTTATCATATTCCAGTGATCTAAAGTAACTTGCCCTTTATGTCACAATTGCATAAAACTGCTGATTGCACATAAATTTTGTTGATAATATGGATACAAGTTTCATAACTGAACTCTAAACATACAGAGTACTCTGTTGTACACTACATAACCTCTAAATGCTTTGAAAGCCTTCCTGGAGCTTCTTCTGTTCAGAAACAAAAATGTACAGACTAAAGTAAAAACAAACTGTATTCCTGGGTGGTGTACGATAAAGGTTACAACATTCAAATGTGTGACAGGTACCATGTGTGCCTGTGACTTTTGAGAGGCCTCTGTTCRCAGAGGATCTTCTTGTCTCTTCTATCTCTTGTCCATATTTTTTTGTGCTGGTGTGACACAAATAGACGTCTTTGACAAACTCGTACCAGCAACTTAGGCACTTTGGGTGGGGGGGGGGGGGTGTTGCCATTTCCTATTAGAGTTCCTGATGCAGTTGGACCGCATCCTGCCCGTTTAGTTTAAGTCATTAATGTGGGAAAATAAATCTTATTATTCTTTATTAAAGGAGAAAAGTCATGTTTTTAAATCCTTCTTTTTCCAAATTTAAATCATTTAGTTGGGGTTTATATGAGTTGGAACTACAATGTTTTGCTCTGATTCCCTCCTTATTGTAACTCCATAAGCCCCTCTTTCACCCCTTTTTCTAAGGTGTGTCTCAGATCAACTTATTTTGAGGCTGTCCCTTTAAATCCAAACAAGGTGCTTAATACCCCGCCCCCTCTAGATTCCAGAGTGGTTCACTCTAGTTTGAGGGATTTACAACTACAGAGACATTTTATTAACAAATGAATTAAAGGTGTCAATAAGGGATGTAAGAACCCTTGC